CGCCGCCCGTGCGCCTGCCCGGCTCGGCCCCGCCCTTCGTCGCGGCCCCGCCCCGGCCCGTCGCCGCCCGTGCGCCTGCCCGGCTTGGCCCCGCCCTACCTGTCGCGGTCCCGCCCCTCCGTCGCGGCCCCGCCCCGACCGTCGCGGCCCCGCCCCTCGTCGCGGCCCCGCCCCTGCGTCGCGGCCCCGCCCCTCGAAGCGGCCCCGCCCTACGATGCGGCCCCGCCCTACCTTCGCGGCCCCGACCTGTCGCGGCCCCACCCTACGTCGCGGTCCCACCCCGACCGTCGCGGCCCCGCCCCGCTCGTCGCGGCCCCGCCCCTTGTCGCGGCCCCGCCCTCCCCTCAGGTCCGTGGTGGGCCCCCCCCCCTTTCTCCCCTGCGGCCCCCTCAGGTCGCCACGACGGACGACGGGAGGGGCGAGCTGTGGGGTGGCGGGTATGGGGGTGGCCGGTGTGCCTTCCTCCCTTTCTCCTCCTCCTCCTTCGTCTCCCACTGCTGCAGCTGTCGCTGAAGGGGGTGGTTGTGTGGGAGACTGGGGTTTAGGGTTTTAGGGGGGTGCGTGGGAGTAGAGCTAGTGGTGTAGCAGTGGGTGTGTATCAGGGGGGTGGGACTGTGTGCGGGAGGATGAGCGGAGGTTGCCAGTTTGTCGTCAGCAGCACCTGTAGTCCGGGGCGCTGTCCCGGTAGCCCAGTCGTAGCCAGCTGTGCCAGCCGCCCGTGGGTCCGTTGCCCGTCCGCCGCTATTTGAGCCGCGGGGCCTGTTACCCCTGTAGTCCGGGCGCTGTCCGGTAGCCGCTGTGCCAGTCTGCCTCCTGTTGCCTGTGTGTCTGCAGCTTCAGCCGTCGCCTCCTGTCTCCTCTCCCCTCACTCTCCCTCCTCCTCACTTGCCCGTTGTGACTACCACTAGCTTTGCTTATAATTGTAAACTCTAAACTATTTCTTCTTGAACTTGTGCTCAGAATGTGTGGTGACATTGTGATCCACCCTGAGCTTGTTTTGCTTTGCCTGCTCTGCTGATTACACCCCACTTTGGCTATGGGGGTGTGTCAGAATATTATCTTATTGTTCTAGCCTGTAGTGGGGTGCTCTGTAGCGAGTACAACCCTTCTAGGGTTTGCTATTTGTATCCACATTCTTGCTAGTTCAATCCTCTTTCTTTCTTCTAACTTTTGACACTTGAGAGGGTTCGGAGACAAGCGCCGGCTGCTGCAGACACCGGCGACAGCCTTAGCTGAGTGGAAGTGGAGCGCCAGTGCGTGTTGCAGCTTCAGCCCGTCACCCTTCTCCCGCCCAACCCTCATCACAGCCGTTGTTGAGGGGGGAAGGCTGGCTTCCGCGACGGCCAGACATTGCGGCAGTGTGGCAGGGTTTGAAGGGTTGGCGTTGAGCAGGGGCGCGAGTTGGGCCACCTCGTGGTGTAGCTCGGAGCCAAGGGAGCGCAGAAGGTTCAAGGTGGGCCGTTGCGACGGCTGACGCCAGGTAGGCGTAGGTAGGAAGGAGCCTTCCGTGCTTGGGTTGGGTCAGTGAGTCGCAGGCCTCCTATGGTACGGTGGTGGGGAGGCTGGCCGATTTTCGAGCCGACTCTCAAATCCAAAAGGCCTCCAATGGTACGGTGGTGGGGAGGCTGGCCGATTTTCGAGCCGACTCTCAAATCCAAAAGGCCTCCAATGGTACGGTGGTGGGGAGGCTGGCCGATTTTCGAGCCGACTCTCAAATCCAAAAGGCCTCCAATGGTACGGTGGTGGGGAGGCTGGCCGATTTTCGAGCCGACTCTCAAATCCAAAAGGCCTCCAATGGTACGGCGGTGGGGAGGCTGGCCGATTTTCGAGCCGACTCTCAAATCCAAAAGGCCTCCAATGGTACGGCGGTGGGGAGGCTGGCCGATTTTCGAGCCGACTCTCAAATCCAAAAGGCCTCCAATGGTACGGCGGTGGGGAGGCTGGCCGATTTTCGAGCCGACTCTCAAATCCAAAAGGCCTCCAATGGTACGGCGGTGGGGAGGCTGGCCGATTTTCGAGCCGACTCTCAAATCCAAAAGGCCTCCAATGGTACGGCGGTGGGGAGGCTGGCCGATTTTCGAGCCGACTCTCAAATCCAAAAGGCCTCCAATGGTACGGCGGTGGGGAGGCTGGCCGATTTTCGAGCCGACTCTCAAATCCAAAAGGCCTCCAATGGTACGGCGGTGGGGAGGCTGGCCGATTTTCGAGCCGACTCTCAAATCCAAAAGGCCTCCAATGGTACGGCGGTGGGGAGGCTGGCCGATTTTCGAGCCGACTCTCAAATCCAAAAGGCCTCCAATGGTACGGCGGTGGGGAGGCTGGCCGATTTTCGAGCCGACTCTCAAATCCAAAAGGCCTCCTATGGTACGGCGGTGGGGAGGCTGGCCGATTTTCGAGCCGACTCTCAAATCCAAAAGGCCTCCAATGGTACGGCGGTGGGGAGGCTGGCCGATTTTCGAGCCGACTCTCAAATCCAACTCTCAAATCCAAAAGGCCTCCAATGGTACGGCGGTGGGGAGGCTGGCCGATTTTCGAGCCGACTCTCAAATCCAAAAGGCCTCCTATGGTACGGCGGTGGGGAGGCTGGCCGATTTTCGAGCCGACTCTCAAATCCAAAAGGCCTCCTATGGTACGGCGGTGGGGAGGCTGGCCGATTTTCGAGCCGACTCTCAAATCCAAAAGGCCTCCTATGGTACGGCGGTGGGGAGGCTGGCCGATTTTCGAGCCGACTCTCAAATCCAAAAGGCCTCCAATGGTACGGCGGTGGGGAGGCTGGCCGATTTTCGAGCCGACTCTCAAATCCAAAAGGCCTCCAATGGTACGGCGGTGGGGAGGCTGGCCGATTTTCGAGCCGACTCTCAAATCCAAAAGGCCTCCAATGGTACGGCGGTGGGGAGGCTGGCCGATTTTCGAGCCGACTCTCAAATCCAAAAGGCCTCCAATGGTACAGCGGTGGGGAGGCTGGCCGATTTTCGAGCCGACTCTCAAATCCAAAAGGCCTCCAATGGTACGGCGGTGGGGAGGCTGGCCGATTTTCGAGCCGACTCTCAAATCCAAAAGGCCTCCTATGGTACGGCGGTGGGGAGGCTGGCCGATTTTCGAGCCGACTCTCAAATCCAAAAGGCCTCCTATGGTACGGCGGTGGGGAGGCTGGCCGATTTTCGAGCCGACTCTCAAATCCAAAAGGCCTCCTATGGTACGGCGGTGGGGAGGCTGGCCGATTTTCGAGCCGACTCTCAAATCCAAAAGGCCTCCTATGGTACGGCGGTGGGGAGGCTGGCCGATTTTCGAGCCGACTCTCAAATCCAAAAGGCCTCCTATGGTACGGCGGTGGGGAGGCTGGCCGATTTTCGAGCCGACTCTCAAATCCAAAAGGCCTCCTATGGTACGGCGGTGGGGAGGCTGGCCGATTTTCGAGCCGACTCTCAAATCCAAAAGGCCTCCTATGGTACGGCGGTGGGGAGGCTGGCCGATTTTCGAGCCGACTCTCAAATCCAAAAGGCCTCCTATGGTACGGCGGTGGGGAGGCTGGCCGATTTTCGAGCCGACTCTCAAATCCAAAAGGCCTCCTATGGTACGGCGGTGGGGAGGCTGGCCGATTTTCGAGCCGACTCTCAAATCCAAAAGGCCTCCTATGGTACGGCGGTGGGGAGGCTGGCCGATTTTCGAGCCGACTCTCAAATCCAAAAGGCCTCCTATGGTACGGCGGTGGGGAGGCTGGCCGATTTTCGAGCCGACTCTCAAATCCAAAAGGCCTCCTATGGTACGGCGGTGGGGAGGCTGGCCGATTTTCGAGCCGACTCTCAAATCCAAAAGGCCTCCTATGGTACGGCGGTGGGGAGGCTGGCCTGGTTCCAAATCCGTTCCTTCTCCGCTGCTGGCGCGCAAGGCTCTGAGATTTGCGCCGCAGCCAACAGGGTGTGTAGCAGCCGTTCACCCCACGCGGACCATTCAGCTGCGGGCAGGAGGGCTAGAGGGGTGGTGCGGGCGAGGAAAGAGGCTCTCCGGCTGATGCATCGGGTGGGCAGGAGGTAGGAGAGTTGGGGATCCATGCGGCCCACTAGTGGCAGCGGAGAGCTTGATGTAGCGAGTTTTTCCCGCAGCTGCGTGGCGAAGCCGTCGGCTGTTCCGACTGGGCTGCCGAGGACCCGCAAACCAGCGCGGTTGAAGTGGATCCCGGTGGGGAGGTCGGCGTCGTTCTTGGGGCCTGGTGACCAGGCTGCGCACTTTGCAGGGTTGTGGGTTAGGTTGATGGGGAGGAGGTCAGCGGTGAGGTGGTTGAAGGCGGAGGTGCAGGCGGACGCGGGGCCGAGGAATGTGATATCGTCCGCGTAAGCGATGATGACGACATTCGAAAACGCAACGGCGGTGGCGGTAAGCGAGCGTTGGATACCAGCCGCAAAGAGTAGCAGTCCCATTGGGTCGCCCTGGCGGACTCCACGCGCGTTTGTTGGAGAAGCTGCGTTGAAGCCCGTGCCACTTGTAAGATGGAGGCGGAGCCTTATGTGAGTCTAATGAAGGGGAGCAGGGGGGCGAGTGGGGTGGATTTCAGGCCTTCGAAGACGGCTGCTCTTTCGATGGCGTTGAAGGCGTTTTCTATGTTTATCTGGAGTGCGATCGCGGTAGGGTTTTCCTCCAGGAATGTGTGGATGATATGGATGGCAGCTTCCGTCCCCCCTGGTATTGCTACGCCGAGTTGGAGAGGGGTGAAGAAGTCGCGAGCGGCCGCGGCCGTCAGGTAAAGTGCACATTTCGCGATAAGGCAGTGCAGGCATTCGCCTAGTACGATGGGGCGGATCCCTCCTCCAGGTTTGACAAACGCAACCAGACGTGAGACTGTGAGCACCGATGCGGCCTCGGGACACAGCTGGCCTGCGAGAGCCATGTTGGTGAGTGTGTGGAGGTGTTGGCAGACATCTGGGTTCACAAGAGCAGCATCACGGAGGTGTTCGAAATTTGTGCCTGAGGGTCCACCTCCAACTCCATTAGGGCATTTGGCGATGATTTTGCGGAAGTCGCGAAGGGGTATGAGAGGTGGGGTGTCAGTGGCGTGGCTGGGCACCCAGTCAGGGACCACCACCACTGGGACCACCACCACCGGCACCACCACCCCTCCCAGCACCAACCCTCCCAGTACCATTGGAAGCACCGCCGGTAGCACCACCCCCACTGGCAGCACCACTGGCACCACCACCCCTGGCAGCACCACTGGTACTCTGAATGGGCATGAGTCTGAAGCGTGTTTCACATCTCACTGCCTTCCTCTGTTGGGCAATGTCTCTTATCATGTCTAATCTCACCCCACCCTAACGCCCTCTCTTGCTCTGTCATGCCATGCACACTCTGCCTGCGCCGTTCCCTTATGACCGAGTACAACTTATTAACTCGGTTCCGAGACCCTTCTGCCGTACAAAGTTACACTGTACCGAGTTGCACTGTACCGAGTTGCAATGTACCGAGTTGCACTGTATCGAGTTGCACTGTACAGAGTTGCACCGTACCGAGTTGCACTGTACAGAGTTAAGAGAGTATTCATTCCCATAACTTTCTCTGCTGCCCTTTTCTTGTCGCCTCTGCTGCAGATCCTGCCTGTGAGGCGTTGGGCTGTGAGCCTGGTGGCAAATGCGAGGTGGATCAAAACGGAGAGCGCTACTGCAAGTGGGGTGAGTGAGCATGGCTTTCCTGCCTGTGGGGTGAGCATGGATTTCTCGCTTTCCCATTCCCACCAAAGGCCATACATTCGTACATGGTTTATCAACCCCACGCCATCCAACCCCATACTTCATGCATTCCTATATCAATCCCATATCCACTAGACCACCTCTCATACACAATACTTCCACGGTCTCCCTTGCTTCTCCCTCTCTCTTGTTTCTCCTTCTGCCTTGCTTCTCCTCTTCCCTCTCTTTTCCTCTCCCCGTCCCTTACATCTCCCTTGCTTGCTGCGTCCCTCTGCCTCACCCTGTGGTGCCTGCCCCTCTGGAGCCTCAACCCCCCACAAGGAATTGCACTCACATACCACACTGCACCCATCCCCATCCCACCCCAGAGACTCACCCTGTGGCACGTGTCCCTCTGGAGCCACCTGCAAGACCGTGCCTGGGACGGATTTCCCTCAGCTGCAGGTGCCTTACTGCGAGTGCCCTCAAGGCTTTGGAATGACCGCCACTGAATGTGTTGCGGGTGAGTCTCCTCTCTCTCCCCACTCGCCCTATGCGCCCCTCACTCGCCTTACTGTGAGTGCCCTCCAGGCTTTGGGATGATCGCCACTGAATGTGTTGCGGGTGAGATTCTGCACCCTCCTCACTCCCTCCACTCTCTCCTCTCCTCACTCCCCCACTCTCTCATCTCCCTACTCGCCCCACTCTCTTATCTCCCCACTCTCTCTCCATCCCCCCTGCTTCACCTCTCCTCACTCTCAAACGTTGGCTGATCGCTAAGCGAAGTTGGGCTAATCATGGCACTTGCCAAGCTTTCTCAGTCACGGCTGTTGTCAAGTCATGGCAGTGCTTTTAAGAGTTCTCCAAACACGAGATTCTCCAATACCTCTTCTTTTTAGCAATACTGTTGGAATCAAATACCCTCGATATTATTCACAAGAACTTGTTACAAACCAGTTGGCTGAAAGGCTGATCGGGAGGGGGGGGGAGAGGCGGGGGGGGGGGGGGGGGGGGTATCCTAAACAAACTCTTCCCTTTCCCATTCGTTCTCTTTTTTAGGAGGAATCTTCATAGTCGGTTCCAACAGCGTCACACTCATCGCAAATCGCACTGCCAAGGACAACACCTCCCGGCCCTACACCTTCCGCTGGAAGCTCAATGGTTGCACCCAGTACCCAGCTGCAGTGACTGGAAAGTACACGTTTATTTTTTTCTGTTTTCAACATCAGCGGCACTCCGAATTGCAAGCACTACCTCCTGTCAGACCATATAGCTTACTTGTTTGTGTAGGCTATAGTGGGGTATCCCATAGGGGGTACAACACAAGTAGGGTTTCCTATTTGTACTCACTTCCTTCATACTCATTTCATTTTTCTCGTTCACACTTTCTCATGGAATCAGAGCAGGTCCCTTCTTAGGGCCTGTTCCTAGGGCCCACCGAAACGCGCCCCGAGGCGCGCATTTTTTTTCGCGACCCTCCGTGTCGCCCTCCTCGTCGTGCTCCCGCTTAGGCCTCACGTCGGCCCCACGTCGGCCCCGCTTAGGCCCCACGTCGGCCCCGCTTAGGCCCCTCGTCGGCCCCGCGTAGCCCCGCTCAGGCCCGTCGGCCCCGCTTCGGCCCCGCGTCGGCCCCGCGTAGCCCCGCTTAGGCCCGTCGGCCCCGCTTCGGCCCCGCTTTGGCCCCGCGTCGGCCCCGCCTATACCCCGTCGGCCCCGCGTTGGCCCTGCTTAGGCCCCGTCGGCCCCGCGTTGGCCCCGCTTAGGCCCCACCGGTCCGCCTAGGCCCCACTACGGCCCGCCGTTGGCCCCGCTACCGCCCGCACCGGCCCCTGCTGCAGCCCGCCGCCGGCCCAGCTACAGCCCGCCGCCGGCCCACCTACAGCCCGCCGCCGGCCCTGCTACAGCCCGCCGCCGGCCCCGCTATAGCCCGCCACCGGCCCCTGCTACAGCCCGCCGCCGGCCCTGCTACAGCCCGCCCCGGCCCCGCTACAGCCCGCCGTCGGCCCGCCGCCGGCCCCGCTACAGCCCGCCACCGGCCCCTACTACAGCCCGCCGCCGGCCCTGCTACAGCCCGCCCCGGCCCCGCTACAGCCCGCCGTCGGCCCGCCGTCGGCCCCACTACAGCCCTCCCCGCGGCCCCTGCTGCAGCCCGCCGTGCTGCACGTGGGCAGCCCCAACAGCCCGCGCCGCCCGTGAGCCCCTACGCCACCCGAGCCGCGCGAGCCGCCCGAGCCGCCCGAGCCGCCCGAGCCGCCCGAGCCGCCCGAGCCGCCCGAGCCGCCCGAGCCGCCCGAGCCGCCCGAACCGCCCGAGCCGCCCGAGCCGCCCGAGCCGCCCGAGCCGCCCGAGCCGCCCGAGCCGCCTGAGGAGCTGTGCTGCTGTTCCTGAGCTGTGTTCCTCTGCTGCTGACCTACCCGACTCTCCCAGCCCGGTGAGAGATTCAGCTGCTGCCATGGCCACCCCCAATGTTCTCACTTTTGACGCTGAGGGGAGGGCCATTGACTTTGCCGTCTGGATTGAAGACCTGCAGCTGTACTTACTGTGTGATGCGATAGATGAGGTCTCTCTCTTTGACTTTGTCTCTGGCGCTGTCCCTGCCCCACCTGCTGATGCTGACTCTGCCGTTCGCTCCAAGTGGGCGACCCGCGATGCTGCTGCACGTCTTGCTGTGCGTCGCCACCTCCCTTCCTCTGAGCGTGCCCACTTTAGTCAGTGCAAGACCGCTCAGGCCTTGTACGACGCTGTAGTTGCACGCTACTCCTCCCCTTCCTCCGCTACCCTTAGCCGCCTCATGCTACCGTTTCTCTTCCCTGACCTTGCTTCCTTTCCCACTGTCGCTGACCTCGTTACCCACCTCCGTGCTAGTGACACCCGCTACCGCGCTGCCCTTCCTGCTGAGTTCCGCGCTGCGAACCCTCCTCCCATGTACATCACTCTCTACTTTCTCGTCACCCGTCTCCCTGAGTCCCTTCGTGTCGTTAGGGACCAGTTTCTCTCTGTCTGTCCCACCACTCTCACTGTCGACCTCCTTGAGGAGTCCCTGCTAGCGGCTGAGAAGAGTATTGTCGCTGTAGGGGCCTCTCGGGGTGACCCTCGCACCCCCATCTTTGAGGGGTGTGGTCCTTCCCCCCTGCTGCCCTCTGTCGCCTCTGCCGCTGCGGCCGACCTCACCGGTTTTGAGTCGGTCGGCGCGGCGTCTGCCCCCAGCGGCAGACGCCGCTCTGGCAAGGGCAAGGGGGGCAAGGGAGCGGGTGGAGCTAGAGGGGGCGGTGGAGGAGGCGGTGGGGGTGGCGGGGGGAGTGGGGGTGGCGGTGGGGGTGGTGGCGGGAGTGGAGGTACTGGTGGCGGCGGTGGAGGCGGAGGTGGCGGCGGAGGTGGTAGCGGAGGAGGCGGTGGGAGCGGTGGGAGCGACAGTCCTGGTGGGGGAGGTGGCGGTGGAGACGGGGGTGGCGGTGGAGGCGGGGGTGGCGGTGGAGGCGGGGGTCGGAGTGGCTCGTCCCAGCGGAGCAGCTCTGGGGGTGGTCAGCGCCAGCAGCAGCAGCAGCAGCAGCCGCAGCAGCAGCCACAGCAGCAGCAGCGCTCTCGCACCGTCCCCGCCCCTCAGCAGCTCCGTGAGTGGTACTTGCAGCGTCAGCGTGGTGGTGCGCTTGGTCCCTGCCCCTACGTTCTTCGCACCGGTGACCGTGCAGGGGAGAGGTGTGGAGGCGCCCACACAGCCCGCCGCTGCTTTGGCCGCCTGACCGACGCCTGGCGTCAGCAGTTTCCGGAGGCCGCTGAGATCCCCCGCTGGGGAGAGCTGTCTAGGGCTGGTGTAGCTATTTATGATCTTGATTTTGATGCTATTCTCGCTGCTATGTATGCTGTGACTGGTAGTGATGAGGATGACTGTTACCGGTGTTTCCCGCCCGACCCGGGCATTGGTACTGCCGCGTCAGGTACTAGTGAGGCTGCTGCTCTAGGTGCCAGTGCGTCTGTGCTCTCAGGTGCTGGTGAGTCTGCCCTCTCAGGTACTGTGTCGGCTTCGGCCTCTCACACCTTCACCCTTGACTCTGGAGCGTCTCGCTCCTTCTTTAGGGACCGCACCACTCTCACGCCGCTGAGTCGGCCGGTTGCAGTGTCCCTGGCTGACCCCTCTGAGGGGCCTGTCCTGGCTCGCTTCTCCACTGTCCTCCCGTGTCCGGCGGCCCCCTCTGGCACCCTGACTGGTCTCTACCTCCCCTCGTTCTCGACGAACTTGGTGAGTGGTGCTGACCTCCAGGATGCGGGTGTCCACCAGTTCACCCCTGCTCGTCAGCGGGTGACCCACTGCACGGAGGCGGATACAGGTCGCCACCTGGCTACGTTTACACGTCGGCCAGGGTCGAGCCTGTACACACTGACCACTGCTTCTCCTCCAGGTGCTGAGTCTGGTAGGGTCCCTTCGTCTGGTCAGGTGTTTGCTGCAGCGTCCAGGTCTGGTCCTGAGTCTGCCCCCTGCTCGTGTCGTCGTCTGTCTCACGAGACCCTCCTCTGGCACCACCGCCTTGGCCACCCCTCTCTGCTTCGGCTCAGAGGCATGGCCTCGCGAGTCCTTGTGTCTGGTCTTCCCCGGTCTCTCCCTCCCCTTCCTCCGGGCCCTGGCCCCACCTGTGTCCCCTGTGTCGAGGGGCGCCAGCGTGCTGCCCCTCACTCCTCCCAGTTTCCTCCCACAGAGGCCCCGTTGCAGACGCTTCACATGGACGTGTGGGGCCCAGCCCGCGTCCGTGGACAGGGTCAGGAGCGCTACTTCCTGCTGGTGGTTGACGACTACTCGCGTTACACCACAGTCTTCCCCTTGCGCAGCAAGGGTGAGGTCACTGAGGTGTTGATCGACTGGATCCGCGCAGCTCGTCTCCAGCTTCGGAGGAGCTTTGGCTCTGACTTCCCTGTTTTGCGTCTGCACTCGGACAGAGGCGGAGAGTTCTCCTCCGGCCTCCTGAGTGCCTACTGTCGTGCGCGAGGCATCCGTCAGACCTTCACGCTTCCGGACTCACCACAGCAGAATGGGATTGCTGAGCGCCGCATTGGCATGGTCATGGACGTCGCTCGTACGTCCATGATGCATGCGGCTGCTCCCCATTTTCTGTGGCCGTTTGCGGTCAGGTACGCTGCGCACCAGATCAACCTCCACCCCAGGGTCTCTCGACCGGAGACCTCCCCAGCCCTGCTGTGGACGGGGAAGGTTGGCGATGCGTCAGCGTTCCGGGTCTGGGGATCTCGGGCGTTTGTTCGCGACCTGTCTGCGGACAAGCTGTCCCCTCGTGCTTCTCCCTGCGTCTTCCTGGGGTTCCCCCCCGACGCCCCTGGGTGGCAGTTTTACCACCCCACCTCTCGACGTGTTCTGTCCTCTCAGGACGTCACGTTCGACGAGTCGGTACCCTACTACCGCCTCTTCCCCTACCGCACTCCGTCCCTCCCCCCACCCCCGCTCTTCTTGGTACCAGGTCCCCCCTCGGTAGTCCCCCTCCCCCCTCAGGGTCCTGCCCCTTCAGGTGTGTCCCAGGTAGACGCGGTCGAGCCTGTCGAGGTCACTGGTGACTCTGGTGCTGCTGCGGGAGCTGAGCCTGGGGGTGCGGAGTCTGGGGGTGCTGAGCCTGGGGGTGCTGAGCCTGGGGGTGCTGTGCCTGGGGGTGCTGAGCCTGGAGGTGCCGAGTCTGGGGGTGCTGTGCCTGGGGGTGCTGAGCCTGGAGGTGCTGCGCCTGGGGGTGCTGTGCCTGGGGTTGCTGAGCCTGGGGGTGCTGTGCCTGGGGGTGCT